CCCTCGTACCCCAGCCAGCCCCATCAATGTCTACATGTCCCCTGCAATGCAGTAAATAATGACACCATGGGATAGTACTTGTGTTGACAAGAACTAACCTATGGCAGCTTTTATTAGCTTACTGCGGCCCAGTAGGGCTACGTGTAGACACTGAGAATTTACTGTGGAGCTAATTAGTGATCTCCACAGTGTTCTTCTTGTGTAGATGTTCCCATTGGGAAGCAAATCCCAGACTCCATTGCTTCTCACTCACTCATGGCCACTGCTGGGGTATCTGAGCACCTGAATGCATGCCACCACCAGGCATTCCTTCTCATTAGTTTGCTTGGGACTGAGTTGCTTGCATCTCCCTGTTTCAGCCAGGCATAGGGACAAGAACAACCCCAGTGCAGTGGGTGTACAACAGTTCTTTGTATTGGTTTAGCTGCATTGCAAACATCAAGACAAGTACTCCAATAACTTCTGGGCAATAAGTGCCTGCTGTAATAATTCTGTATGAGGTGGTACCTCATTTTCTCATTATGAAAGTGACAAATGGTGATGCTTTTAAAATTAATTTCCTCTGCTGCAGCCCGTGACAGCCCCTTCACCTGCATTGCTTGGGACCAACAAAAAATTGAGAGGCGGCCTCTCGTGGGATTTATTCTGGATGCTGACACTCTAAAAATCCAATAAGCAAACCAAATCCAACTAAAAGGGGCAGAAGCCACAAAAAGGGAAAGACTTAGAGAGTTTCTTCTAACAAATACACCCCTCAGACTCTGTCTAGCATCTTTTTTTCCTACTAAATATAGCTATTGTGGAAAGGTACCTGGCTGACAGTGCTATATTCTGGAGTCTTCTGCTTCTCCACAAAACCGAGATGCTGCAAGAATCTGCCAGCTACCCATCAGTCCTTAATTGGAGGGAGCACCTTTAAGAAGAGAGTTCAAACTCTCAGACCATGTATTATGTGGCTTTTCAGCAGTGGCTGTTAACAAGGATGTCAGTTAGTGTTAACTATGCCGGTGGTTTTTGCAATACATGTAGCGGCCCACTTGCAATGGAATTGAAACCACCCAGGCCACTGAGCAGCTAACAGAGGTTAATAGCCACAAATTATCAATGTAAATTGAGTCTGACTTGGTGAACAAGGTCTTTCTAGACCATTACCAGCACCTTGTGCCATCCAGTCTTCACCTCTGGGAAGATCCTAGTAATCTCCTTTCATTAGTAGTCCTGTCTTCTCAAACTTGCTCCAGTCTTTGGATGAAATGATGCTCAGGGGCAATCAGCATGGTTTTATTAAGGGGAGATCATGTCAGACCAACCTGATTGCCTTCTATGATCAGGTCACAAAGGCCATGGATGCAGGTGTCGCGGTGGATGTAGTCTTTCTGGACTTCAGCAAGGCCTTTGACACCGTCTCTCACCCCATCCTAGTTAAAAAACTAGG